GTAATAGCTCCTGACATCCTGAGTCTTCCCTATCTGGTAGCCCCATCACAAATTGTGTTAATTGCATCAGATTGTATTAGATTGTACTGAAAGAGTTAACTTTACAGCTGCAACCCCCGAGCTATCTGTACAAAGCAAGAAGGGACTTTCCGTTGGTCATAAAACCACAGGATGTTCTGTTTCAGTGAGTTAGGCAAGATAAGTAACAGTTCCGGGAACACAGTGACCAGGCTAGAACCCCGGACACCATAGTTACCCAACCCTGGGCCCCTCCAATCAGCTTTTGCCAAGCCCTGCACCGTTCAAAACTAACCAATGCGATCTGCTTCTGTAACCCGCCTGCTTTGCGGTTTTCATCCTTAAAAACACCAGCCTTGCCCCAACTCAGGGTTCTCCATTTCCACCTGTTTGGAGGACCCCGTGTACACAGAATAATAAAAACCCCTTTGTTTTTACATGAGAGTGAGGCCCTTGGAGTCTTCCTTGCGACACCGGTCTAACACTATAGGGGACAGTACATCATTTACTGTAATTGGCATGTTATGTGCAGGTATTTCATAGACCACAAAGGAAATATTAAGCCTATTAATTAACAAGTATCAGTTTCAATAAATGTGCTCATAGCACTAAATCACTGACAACTGTGAATTTTTTTTTGTATGAGAGATTGAACTCATGTCCTTGTGCACTCCAGGCAGCTTCTTTTATCTCTGAATTCAACACCCAGAATCAACAACTTTAGATACTAAATATGACTATTAACAATGTTTAATTTGCCATTGACATATTTAGTTATAAATTTTATAAACCTACATTTTCGCAAATGAAAAGATTTTATTTCCTTGCAGTTTAAATTACTTTTGTTTATAGGTACCAGCGATCAAAGTTACAACCTAGCACTTTCCAGGCAGACGTTTCTGCCTGCTGAGCTTAAATCCCTGGCCTGTATTAATGAATAGTTTTAAATGTATAAACATCACTTTATTCATTCAAATACTATTGTGATTTTAGCAAAGGATGCCAATGTAGACAGAAATTGATATACAATCAGAGAAGAACTGGAACCTCAAAGAGTCAATGCAAAAAACTAAACACAACAATCACTGCTACAGGCACAGCTGAAGAAAGCCAGAACTGAAGGTGAAGATGCAGTGACAATGTCTACATGCTCCTGAAGAGAAAAACAATAGTTTGAAATGTACTGCAGTTTCCACCACCTGTTCCAGGAAGTCCTCATAGGCCTCAATTACCATACTCAAAGACCAGAACAACTGGACTATTGTTCCCACAAAATGCCTTGGCTCTTTCCACATACCTTTTCGGGCTGACTTGTTCCCCTGCTGAATAATATTAGTTAAGCAGCTATAAGCTTATAGGTTGATTGTAGTCTGAGACCCACACTGTACCCACATTGGGACTTTACTGTATAACTGTTCTCTGACAATAGGTCTGTGGCCAAAACACTGAAGACCACTCCAGAAAATTCAGGGCTATTCTTCTCTCTTTTTTTCTAAGAAAATTTTGGAACTTCTTTTGGTTTGTGGCTTCGTTTCTCAATGTTGTGAGCCATTAAACTTGGTGCATTTGACATCAAACAGGGCAGAATTATATTTTTCTTATTTAAATTTAAATATGAAATTCTGCTAAAGGCCATGTTCCAAAGGCTGGATTTCAAGCTGCTTGTTTGCCATGAGTTTAACATTTCCATGAACTTTTAGAAGTCCTCAGTCTAGTGAACTACAAATGTATTGGGGGAAGGAGGTCACTGTTGTGCTGTAGCGCAATAGGTGCCATTCCTAAATCTGTGTTTGTCACTGCCTCCTGGATGCCACTACATGGCCTTCCTTCTTCTGCAGCATCATTCAATAATTCCCATTTTGCATAAGTTAACTTTCACTCAGCTCCATAATTATTTTTTTAAATAGTCTTTCTGTCACCTTGTTTATTTTTTTCATTTTAGTTTTTTGATTTAAAGACATAGACTCACTTTGGAGTTCTGGCCAGCCTTGCAATCACTAGGTAGGTTGGCTCTTTGAATACATGGCCATTCTCCTGTTTCAACCTCTTCATCTCTAGGGAAAAGAGGTGGGCATTATAACACATGGCATTTGTCTTTTTTCTCCTTTCCTTTTCAATATTATTTTTCATTTCAGTGCCACTGTCATTTAATCCTGGTGTTTGCTTGTGTCAGTAAAGGTTTCTGCAGCTTGAGTTTAGTTTGTGAACAACAATATAGGAAGACAAGCAAACCAATTGAGAAATGTGAAATTTCATTAGCTGGTCTCAGGACCACTTGTATACAGAACCCCCATCCCCATTTCAGGATCTAAAGAAGAGGCTTTGAACTGGAAAGTTACAGACATTTTAAAAGATAGAATCACAAAAAGATCCTGTTGGAAATCATTGAGCTAGACTCTTATAATAATTTTTGGATGACAAATTTATTCTGCTTCTTTTGTTGAGCAGGTTAATTTTTTTCTTTGTGTATAGCTCATTTTGCTTTACTCCTTGGACTTCTACCCTGAGTGATTTTCCATTTTTCTGGGTGAAGTACAGGGCACTAGTTAAATGCAAAGCTCAACATGCCATCTACTATGCCAAGCTACAACACAGCTAAGTTACAAGCCTCAATATTTTCTAGGGTAAAAACACACATATCTATAATCCCAGCACTCCAGAAACTGAGGCAGGAGTGCTGCTTTGTGGTTAGGGCAACTCTGCACTCCATAAGGGGTTCAAATCTAGCTGATATACACAGAGAAAACCTGCCTCAATAAAACAAAGCTAAACTAAACAAATAAAACCAAAGAAAACAGTTGAATGGAGACTGATTTCTTCAAATCTTAATCCCATATCTTGGGGATTAATTTTTGTATATACATTTTTTGAGACAGCGATTTCATGCTATGTTGCAACTCACCACTACTGTAACAGCCAAATAGGAGCACTGATTCTTATGCTGAGTCACTGCAAGAGTTGGTGTGCATTGTCTCTAATGCAGAGCTCATAGTGAGAGCCTGCAGGACCAGCATCCATAAAGCACAGAGGCAGACAAGTATCTCATCCATCACTTTGATGGACTACAAATTATATCTCTTCAAATCTCAATTAGGCCACTGAGTCCTTTGTTCTTAATATACTTAAGCAGCATTTTGATATTTGAATTTGGTTTCATAGAACAAAACATAAATAACATCAAATATGGTACATAAATTATAACACAAATGTTCATGGAAAACTGCTGTATGTAAAAAATGTATAAACAATGAAAGCAGGTGCAAGCTTCAAATTATACCTCAGTGTCAACAAGTGATCACTTTCCACTCAGATATAAGAAATATATCTTGGGAGGCTGATGCAGGAGAACTGTCTTGAGTTTGGGGCTAGCCTAAGTTACAGAGCTGCCTGAAATAGAGAAACCCTGATGGAGACACCCCACAGACAATGTGAAACTTGGAAAATGACTGCATAAGACACCTTTGGTTTGCTTTAAAAAGTTATAGCCATACAATTAAGAAACATTCCACAATATTCAACATTTTCTGAGGAACAAGGTTGATATTATTCATAATATACAGAAAACACTTTCAGAGCTGGGTATTTAGCTAGCAGCTTGAAAACCTAACTTGCAAGCTTGAGAACATGAGTTCAATACTTGGTACAAAAAAAATTCAAATTTCACCTTCGTGATACTGAGTCATAATTCGAGATAATCAAAACTAGATTTCAAGTGAATAACACAGAATTCATGGGGTGACAGAGATGTGGAATACTGATTGTTACCAGAGCTGGTGTTATTCACCTTAAGGAAGATATCATGATTCAACTTTAACTTCATGCTTACCCTAAGTACTACCTGACTCAGTGAAGACCCTCTCTGTTGTATGTCCTGCTATTTGCACACTGTGTCCTGCTGGTCACTTCCACATCCTTTCCATGTTCCTCCGGTCCACCCTAAGCAGAAAACCCTTCATGCCTTAACTATTGATATACCTGCACAATTTCAATTTAGGGAATCTCTTTACACGAATTAGTAAAGTCCATTACAGGGCATTTCAATATTTAAACAATGTATATGATCAACCACACTATTAAAGCAGCTCTTAATTCAGAGATGACACCCATATTCCTTTCCATTCAGAAGGATATCACATGTATATGTTCATGCAACTTAGGCATGTTCCTACATTTAGGCATTTTCCAGTGAGAATTTAACAGGCAGGCCTTTCTGGAATTTGTCCTTAGCAAGCACACTTTACCCGGCCCTTGAGGACACTTTTATATCTGCTTCATTTTTCTCAAAATTGAAACTTCTATGGCTGTTCTCACAAATATAGTCTATGAGCACGTGTCACAAATTATGTTGAAAAATTATTTTCACTGTTATTTATCATACACAGGAGTTCACCAGGTGTTTGAAAAGCCTTCCTCCACCGAAGCACATCACTGCACATCTCTGAATTTTCATAATCTTTGCCAACACCTGTCATGGGGTTGGAAATGCGAGAACATATGATAAATTTAGGCAATCCCTATAAATACAAAAAATTACAAGTTTAAGAAGTGCCATTGTGGATATGAGGCCCTGCATTACAAACATTTATAAACTTTAGAACATCAAGGTTGCTGATCCCTGGAATGAGAGCAGAGACCAAGCTCAGTACTGATGCTCCAGCTCCAAAATGCATCAGAGTCAGGGGCTTCCCAAGCTCCTTCCTCTGCTCTCTATGGTGAAGTTGTCAGGGCAGTAGAAAATTTCAAAGATGATACTCCAGTCTGTTGCTATCAGAGTTAATTCAGGGCTCTGGGGACACAGAATCATCCTTGCTCCCAGCAGAAGAAAAAAGGGAAAGTGGACGACCCAAGACCAATGCTAGAAGACCTCTGGAGCTGAAGCTAACTAAATACCTGAGTCTACACACACCAGAACTACTTCTCACCACTTGTAACTGTCTTCTCCCAATTCCACCCTATTTCTGGGCTCCCATCCAAAGCCTCACCATTCTGTGGCTTAGAGGGTCTCCCAGGTTCTTTGCTAATCAGGCCACAGGACATCGAAACCAGTAAATGAGATCCAGCAACATTCTGCTCCCAGTTTTGTATTCCAAACAGGTACACAATTTCTATACACCGGAAGAGACCCAAGAGACCTCCTCCCACAGCTCGCCTGATTGGACATTTCATATAGCCCGCCTCTTCATCACTGATTGACTGCCGCTCTACTGCCCTCCTTCTAAGTCAAAAATAAACAGGGAATGGAACTCCTTCCTGCAAGAGAGGATCCCAAATGATAGACAGTAGTCAGAGACTTCTGAAGCTGGTTGTCTTCACCAGTGTTGATCTCAGCTACACAGAGGAATATGTGTACCAAAGTGCCTTACCTCAGGCTTTTCATTTCCAAATTTTCATTTCAAGGATAAAAAGAAAAAATAATCTAAAACTAAATTTCAAGACATGTGAATCAGGGGGCAACACTGGTATATACATTGCACACTGTCATCCCCAGATCACTAACCCAGAGCACAAGACATCTGTATTCAATTTTCCTAAAAATACTAACATGTGGAGCTGAATTAGTTAATTATGATTAGCAATGAGACAGGGCTAGGTCCTCCTAGCAGCCCATCCAGAAACCCAGATACCTTGCAACTATGGAGAAGATGGGCAAATCCTGCTATGGGCTAAGCCTCAAGACAGAAGATCAACAAACTCATCCATATCCTAAGGACTGATATTCTAAATAGTTCCCTAGCCCTCTGAGGAAGTCGGGAGTCACCATTCAAAGAAATTTATCCTTATCCTAAAGACTGACATTCTAAATAGTTCCTATCATTCTGATGAACTAAGGAGTTACCCTCCCAAACCCCTAAGGGAAGATTCACTGCTGATTAAGAATGTCTGCTTTCTATGTGACTCCATTCCCCCTTTGTTCTCAATTTAATCAACTTTACCTGAACTATTTATCTTATTGGCTACCATAGCTCTGTCCCATCTTATGCCCATCTGCATTGTGAGTTCCCAGTTTTCCCCACCTTCCACCAATCTCACCACATGATTTTACTCTAAAAGGCCTTGGAAAAGACAGTCTTTGCCAACCCAGTTAGGACGCATTTGCTTTCTCTCACACAGCTTTCTTTCTCCCAATAATTATATTATCTTGACTTCTCTTTTTTCTAAAATTCATTTTTTGACTTCAGACAACACAAACTCATCCCAGACATAGTAGACCTGGAGTTTCATTACCCTATAGCAATAACAGTGTAAATTTTTCTTTTTCTTGAAGTCAGAGAATTAAGTAGATGCTTGTATTCTTAAATGTTGATCTCACCTCTTAAGGGACATTTGCATTGAAGGGCTTTATCCCTGACTTTTAGTGCTGCTTCTGTTTTCTGAAAGTGAACTGATCTGTAGTTTTGTTTATGCTATCTACAATGCATTAAGAAAATGTTTAGAAACTTTCCTTGTGAATTGTTTACCACTAACCATAGAAGAAGACACATAGCAAAAATTCTTTATTTTCATTTCTTAATTTAAACTGAAGGATGTACTTTAAAGAGTTTTGCTCTAGAATAAATTACAGGACTTCATGGTGGTAGTTCATCAGGGTGAAATGTCAAATCAGGGATGCTTACCCATATGGCTACTTCTTCGTTTTTCCCTGAATACAACTTCCTCATTCCTTTCCCAGGGGCCAAAAGAAAATTCCAATCAGCTCCTTACATGATGTCAATGTCAGTACCATCACTACCAAATTTCATATATACCCTATAATCCCATAATCTGTCAGAAAAAAACAGAAAACCCTTGGTGGCTGTATGTTCCTCTCCACATTCTTTAAATAGAAAGGACACTGCTACTTTTTCTTATATTCTGTGAAAGGTTTTTGGCCCAGACAGGTCTCTGTAGCCAGGAAAGCCTCAACAGAAAGCACAAGCCCCTATCTCCCCCGCCCCTAGGAATTTACCTATGATGCCACCTTTCAGCCCTGGAAATTTACCTATGGCGCCAAACCTAAGACCAATGGGCTACCTGTCCATCCCTAAAGTCCTCCTTAGGTTCCACCCCAGACTGAGGCTACTTACATACCCTCACCCCACGTGTCTGCCATAGAGATGACTGGACTCCAGCGGTGGGGGGGGGTGCCAGTCATCTCTATCCTTGTTCTCAGAATAAAGGCTTCTTTTTGTTTTATACTTCTCATCTTTTGGAAATATTTTTCATCTTTTGGAAATAATCCTATCATTCTGCTTCTCTATTGGGCCATGAAATCCTAATAGTACTGATTCTTGTCTATATATGAAGCTATTTTACCTTCTCAGTAATTGACATGCTCTATGCCACGAGTATCCAATGGAAATTAATGCAGTGCGCTTTTGCTTCACTCTATCAGTGTCAATGCAGTGAGTTTACTCCTAAGATAAAAATAAATCTTTATACAAGTTTCAAAACAGAATTATGCATCAAATTATAGCCAAGGTCCTAGATGCCTACAGACAGCTTTCAATAATATAATAGAAGCCTTGTAGAAACTGAAAATACAGTTTATCTAATTAAAAATTGTTCAAGCAGGCAATAATGTAGAAATATTTCTGAACAATTATAGATGAACCTTCTCTTTTATAAGATATAACCTAGGACCATGGCAAAGTCTAGGTCTTGCTAAATAAAACAATCAAAGCAATTATTTTACATTTATAATGATTGTTGTATACAATTTAAGATATTGCCAGGATTATAATCATTGTGAGTTATATTAATCACTTGAAACTGCAGGAAAAGAAAAAAATTTCAGACACTATAAAAGTATAGTCATGTTAATTTGGCTCATGTTAATGGTATAGGGGAATGAAACTCCTTACCTAGTATATATCTGGTATGAGTTTGTGTTCTCTAAAATTGAAGAATGAATTTTAGGAATGATGGAGTTTAAGAGTGGAATATATTTATTGGGAGAAGGAAAGCTTCTGTCTGAGAGACAGGAAGGGTCTCAGTGTGTTGCCAAAGACTTTGTCTTTTTAAGGAACTTGTATAGAGTGAAATCATGAGGTTAGATGGGTCCAGGGGAGGGGAAAATAGGAATCTGAAAGTTAAGCATAAGGCAGAGTAGAAATGTGGTCAACCAATAAGGTTAATTGCTCTGGTAAAATTGATTAAATTGGGAACAAATGGGAGAGCAAGTAATAATAAGTGGGCACATTTCAGAGCAGAGAATCTTCTTGTAGAGGGTTGGGATGGTGACTCTTTTGTTCCTCAGGGTGATCAGAGAACTATTTGGACTGTTGGTCCTTAGCACTTGGTTGTATTTTATTTACCTTTTGCTTTGAGATTTGGCCCACAGCAGGAGGTGATGGTCTCTTCCAATCCTGCAACCAATCTGAACTTATTTTCTGGCTTCTTTGAGGGGCAAGCCCTGATGTTATAGGCAGCTGAGTTAGTTAGAAATATAGAGCCAGGGAGACAGAATCAGGTCCTAGATATGTGCAGCTCAGAAGCCCACATACCTTGCAGCTATTGGGAGACAGATACCTCCTGTTATGGGACAGGCCTCAAGAGAAAATACCAAGCAAATGCATTCACATCCTAAGAATTGATTTTCTAAATAGTTCCCTGTCACCCTGCTGAAGTCAGGAGTCACCCTCCCAGTCCCATAGAGGAGAGTTACTGCTCTGAAAATGCCTGCTTTCTATGACCTCACTTCCCCATTTGTCTGCAGTGTAAATGATTTTACCTGAACTATTAATTATATTGGCTAAACATAGCTCTGTCCAAAGTTTTGCACACCTGCCTTGTGAGTTCCTAATTTTCCCCACCTTAAACCCATCTCACCCCCTGATTTTATTCTATAAAGTCCCTAGAAGATACAGAGTCCTTGACAACCCACTTATGACCCCTCCTCTCAGACAGAAGCTTTCTGATAGTGTTTTCACTGTGGTAAAGGAGAGAATATAAATTAAAACTGGCCTTTATTCTAAGAAGGTGGAGAGTACCGAATGACGACTAGACATCTGCCTTTTTCTGCTGGATACATGGTGAGGGGGATTACATTTACGGTTTGACTGGGGTGGTGTATAAAGGTGGCATTGCTGATGTGCCAGTAGCTAATTGGGGCTCTTTTCACGCCACAGATAAGTTGCCTAAGGGAGGGGTAAGTGAGCTCAGGGTAAATGTCCCCTGGCCTGATTCCCACTGCTGTAATATGCTATCTAAAGCAAAAATCTTACACTTTTTTCTCTCAGTAGTTATATTGTGCTCTTCACCTCCATTGTTCCTAAAATTCATTCTTCTCTTTTATAGAACACAAACTCCTACCAGACACAGTAGGTCAGGAGTTTCATTCCATTATATCACTATCTGACTGCCTATATTTCTAACTAACACAGATGCCTGTAACATTAAGAATTATTTATTTATTTCACTTAGCATAATTGTAGCAAATAAAATGTACTTAATGGATGTAGTGAAATATCCCATAAAATTGAAAAAAAAATTATTATCACAATTTCTGTATCATTACCAATCATTTTCATCTTTCAACAATGTGGGGAAAAATAAAAGCAGCGCTCAGCCAATAGCAATGATATGGTGCACAGTTTATTACTCACTGTATTTACCATGTTATTTGTAGGTACTTCATAGATGACAAAAGAAACATTGAGCTTTTTAATGAACAATTATCAATTTTCATAGTTGTGCTTATAGCATTACATGTTTGACAACTGTAGATTTTTCTTTGGTACAAGGGATTGAACTCCTGACCTTGTGCTTGCCAGGCAGGTGCTTTGACCACTTAGCTCAATACCCAGCACAACATCTTTAGATGCTAAATATGACTATTAACATTGTTTAATTTGCCATTGACATATTTAATTAAAAATCTTGTTAATCTACATGTTCACAAATAAAATTATTTTCTTTCATTGCAGTTTAAAACACATTTTTTTTAGGTAGCGTGGATCAAACTCATAACCTAGTACTTCCCAGGCAGGTATTTCTGCCTGCTGAGCTAAATCCCAGGCCCCCATTAAATAATATTTTATTAAATGTATAAACATTACTTTATCCATTGAAATAGTATTGTTATTTTACTAGAGGAGGCCAAAGTAGAGAGGAATTGATAT